TTTTGTAGAAACAAGGTCATGCTATGTGGCCCAGGCTAGTCTCTAACTCCTGACCTCACATGATTCTCCCCGCCTTGGCCTCCCGGAATGCTGGGATTACAGGTGTGTGCCACCCACCACAACCACCCAAGCTTTGTTGAGATTTTGGCAGACTTCTCTAAGGAAACTTCAAGTCACTCAGTAGCCTCTTGAGACACCTTGTAATTGTTTCCTGGCAGGTACTGTATTGAAAATCAAGTTGCTGGTTTAAGTACAGCAAGAAGGTAGCTGTAATTTGCAGAAGGCTCCAAGCATATATTACTGTTTTAAAAAAGAAGGAGACAGAGAGAGAGAGAAAGAGAGAGAATGAGAGAGACAGGCTTGATTTAGTGTACATACTTTCCTTCAGCTGATTCTCATGAAACCTTTGGATGTCCTGATCCCCTACTTACAGATCTACCTTCAAGAATGACTTAAACTTCATAATTGAAAGATCCTTTAAATATTGTAATCCACCTCCCCTTCAGCAGCCCTACTCTCTTCTCCCTACTTCCGTCCCACTTCTACCAGCCTCTCATTTTTAGATGAGGAAAGTAAAGGCCCAAAACATAGGTCTCTTTTATCTCAAAAATAATCTACTCAGACCCTGTGTCTTTGTCCCCTACTGACCAATCCATATATGTGGCATCTGTTGATTTCAAAGAACCCTCTTCAGACTCTTTTCCCTTGGATTCTTCTAGAACTGTGTGCTTCTGCTTCTGACCTTTCATTGTCCATCCATCACTTTCCGCTTTCTTCCTAACCTTGAATGTTACAATTCTCTTGACGCCACCCACTAGACCATTCTTTGGACTTGGAATTTCAGTTGTATCTTAATCATTTTTGCTGAACAATTATATTGTGCTCTGACTTAGTTCATTTTCTGTTGCTATAACAGAACACCCAAGACTGGATAATTTATAAGGAAAATAAGTTTATTTGGCTCATGATTCTGGAGGCTGAGAAGTCCAAGATCAGGCAACCCATTTAGTGAGAACTTCAACTCAGCAGAAAGCAGAAGGGTTTTCAAAGAGACCAAACATGAAAGGCAGCCTCACATTATAACAACTGGCTCTCATGTGAACTTATCCATTCTCTCAAGAACTGACTCAGTCCCTGGAGAAAGACGTTAACTGATCTTAATGACCTAATCACTTCTTAAAGACACCACCTCCCAACACTGTGACATTGGCAATTAAATTTCAACATGAGTTTTGTTAGGGACAAACCATAGCAGGCTGCCAGTCACACATTTTATGAGAACCATGGTTTTCAACCTCTTCCTTACTTGTGGGATTTTGTCCATTTTTCACAATGATGTAACCTTTTCCTGTTGGTAGTTTCAGCTGTTAGGCAAGGATCTGTCAGCGATGGTGAGGCAGCCATAGAAGTTTGCTTCTCAAATGAGTGTAGAGTCTCCTTAAGATAAACTCTGATCCCTTCTAGTGGACTACCTCTGCCATTAGCATAATAGATACCTGGGTGGTGTGGTCCTAGAGTCCTGAAGATATCTGTAGCCTTGCCACTTTTCTCCAGATGCCCTGCCTTAGTTCTGTGACTAGAACTTCCTTACTTGGATAGCAGAGGCACTCTTTGGTTATGGCAAGCCAGGATGATTACTCTCAATTTTGTTATATGAGGGTCTTTAACCACACAGGGCTACCATATGGGGTGGGAGAGACAGCAGCTGGAAAGTGTAGGGGAAGTGGCTCATTTTAAAAAGAAATTTGAGGCTTGTATATATTTGCTTAGCCCACAAGTTCCCTTGCAACCAAGGTGAAGTTCCATCTTCCCGAATGTCATCTGAACTCATTCTTCCATAACTTCAGTGTTGACTTTAATATTATTTGGAATAGTTGATTCTCTTAAAGGTTATATTTGATATTCACTTCAATGTGACTTCATTCATTAAAAAATATTGAGGGAGGCATTTATTATTTTTTGTTTGTTCATTTGTTGTGATAGGTTCTCACTCTGTTGCCCAGACTGGAGTGCAGTGGCATGATCAAAGCTTACTGCAGCCTCCAACTCCCGGGCTCTGGCAAGTCTTATATATTTATAATATATATGTATACATATATCTATTTTAAGGGGTGAGGACGGATTGCAGCAGCTTTTGATCAAAGCCCTAGCCTTCCTAGGCTCATTTTTGCTCAGTACGCTCTGGAGATTTTGTTTTGTTTTGTTTTGTTCTGTTTTGAGACAGAGTCTCACTCTGTCACCCAGCCTGGAGTGCAGGGGTACAATCTCATCTCACTGCATCATCTGCCTCCCAGGTTCAAGCAATCCTCCCACTTCAGCCTCCCAAGTAGCTGGGACTACAGGCACATGCCACCACGCCTGGCTAATTTTTGTATTTTTAGTAGAAACAGAGTTTCACCATGTTGGCCAGGCTGGTCTCGAACTCCTGGCTTCAAGTGATCCACCCACTCTGGCCTCCCAAGGTGCTGGAATTACAGGCGTAAGCCATTGTGCCTGGCCTCTGGAGATGTTTTATTTATTTATGTACTTATTTTTCTGAGACAGGATCTTATTCAATCACCCATACTGGAATGCAGTAGAATGATCACAACTCACTGTACCCTCAACCTGCCAGGCCCAAGCGATCCTCCCACCTCAGCCTCTCGAGCTGGGACTAAAGGCACACACCACCACACTCGGCTAATTTCTGTATTTTTTATAGAGGCGGGGTTTTGCCATGTTACCCAGGTGAGTCTCAAACTCCTGGACTCAAATCTGCCCACCTCTGCCTCCCAAAGTGCTGGGATTACAGGCATGAGCCACCGGGCCTAGCCAATGACACTGGGGACACAAATGGGATGACTCCTCAGTTGAGGACACAAATAGGACGACTGAAAAGGTGTTTGCCACTATGAATTAGTGCACATTGTGGTTCTCCTGAGTCTCTTTGGCAAATAATAGTTAAATACTCACCTACAAATAGTTCTCTTATGGTTGATTAAAAGCCCAGCTTTCTACTATATAAACATAGCAAGTCTTTTTAACTCTGTATATATTACTGTCATTGTTATCATCTCCAGATGAAATAGAGCAGCCCAGACATGATGGCCCTTACTCTCCACATTGATTCTAATAAGAAGAAAGAAGCAGCATAGTTTGCAGTGGCTCTACAATTTCCCATTGTTGTTAATTTCCTGAAAACTTGATGTTAAATGAAGTGTAATTGCAGATTTCCTTAAGAACCATTGACAGATACTTATCCTAAGTCATAAGCAACTCACACTGTGAAATGTGTGCAAACATTCTAAGTTTTCTTCTAGAAGAATATACTTCAGTGAAACCCAATATTCCCCAGCCCTTTTTGACAAACAGAGCCAGCGAAAGTCAACATAGAAGTTGGGGGAAATTTCTTTTTGCCACTTGATTTTTTTAAGGGGATTAATGTTGCCAGAACTTCCATTGTTTTTCAGAGAATGAAAAGAGTCTTTAATAAGTGTCATCTCAGAGACCTTACAACTTTTGGCTAAGAGGGCTGCACTTTGAATGAGATAGTAAACTAGATAGTAAATTATGGTGTATTTAGGTACTGGCATTGTATGATGGAGAGGGGAGTTTGATTTTTTTTTTTTAATTGTTAGGTGGTCTATTTAGTGCAGCTGTGTTTATGTTTCCTTCATGGTAACCGCCTGAACATGGTGACAAGTCCCTACAAATGAGAATAGGCATTTTAAAAAATTATCTTGCCAATGAGCTTTAATTTTGGGGGTCATAATTATTAAGTAGCAATGGTAAAACTAATCCCCAGCACAGTCATTTAGTATAGTTGGTTGGCTGTATCAGACATTTTGACAACCTTGTAAAAAGAGTAATTGAGGCTAGGCATGGTGGCTCACACCTGTAATCCCAGCATTTTGAGAGGCCAAGGTGAGTGGATCACCTGAGGTCAGGAGTTCGAGACTAGCCTGGCCAACATGGCAAAACCCCATCTCTACTAAAAATACAAAAATTAGCTGGGCATGGTGGCACATGCCCGTAATCCCAGCTACTCGGGAGGCTGACGCAGAAGATTCGTTTGAACCCAGGAGGCGGAATTTGCAGTGAGCCAACATCACACCACTGAACTCTAGCCTGGGTGACAGAGCGAGACTCTGTCTCAAAAAACAAAAAAAAAAAAAAAAAAAAAAAAAAGAGTAATTGATACCTTAAATGCTGCATTTCACAACAGAATAAACTTGGAAATTGTAAATTTCCTGAGAATAGTCACACTTCTTTACCCATTGTTTTGGCTGATTTACTTCTTTGCTATTAAAAATGGGTGCTCAGATCATAATGTACATCAATCCTGTAGAAAATTAGCAGTTCCATATTTTTTGCTGTCTTTCTCTTTAAAAAATAATAAATGAACATGGGGCCATGACTGCAGCATAGAGACAGTTGACTGTGACAGAGAAAATGTATATAATAAGTAAATAGCTCTGTGAATTACTCAGTACTTTCAGAATTATGTGCAAGATATGAAATGTGGAGGTGCAAGGTCCTAATGACTGGTTTCCAGAGGCATTTTCTTTAGTGTTACATCCCGTATAACTCAAATTAATGTTTATTATTATTCTTTTATATTGCCAAAATATTTTCATGAATTTGGATTAGAAGCAGCTTGTTCTGGCTTGTTTTGCAACTTTGTTTCAGGAAACAAAGTGATATTTAGAAGATTTTTGTATGTCATAGAAGCTTTAATTATCTTACTTATGTTGAAGGAGATTAAGTTCTGTTTCAGAGTTATGTAAGAAAATAAGAGTTTATACTATGCTAATTTTATGTTGCCAGATAATTAATGTCTTTCAAAAAATTTGAATCTGTGATTTGAGCAGTGTTCGCTGTTAAATAACCAGCAATGTAGAGTCTACTTTAAATTCAAGAAGATGCTACTTGGTCCAGACCTACTTGGGCTGGCCTTTATTTTAATTTGATGTTTGGATTCACAGGTGTTTACCCGTTTTTTCCTCCCCTTCTCTCCACAGATTGGTGAAAGACAGCAAGTGTTAGTAACAGAAGAGTCTTTTGATTCCAAGTTTTATGTTGCACACAATCGATTCTATGAGCAGGTAAGAGGCACTTCAGTATTCTTGAGTTTTCTCCAAAATGAGAAAGAGTTCTGAAAGTTTAAGCACAGGGCATTTAAAGGGGAGAGTGTTGAATCTTGTCACAACAAGGCTATTTTATAGCCTCAAGCCAGCCAGGCTAACATGGGCTCTATCTTTGTGACTTACTCTACAATATGTTCTGTACAAAGGAATAGGTGTATTTAGTCTATTTTAGTTCACATTAATCTTTGACAGGACCAGCCTTAGGCTTTTGGGCGTTTGGAACTAGGCAGTTAGCACTGCCAGAATTCCCATACCCTGGCAAAGCAGGGGGAAAGTCCTGCTCAGACGACAGGAAGGATGTCTGCATGGGCGACAGCAGCGTGAAAGGGCAGGGATTTCCTCTCACCGGCACATCACCCGGACAGTTTTTTTAGTTGGTCGGTTAGTTGGTTGGTTTTTTAGTTTTGTTTGGTTTTAGTGTTTGTTTTTGTTTATTTGTTTGTTTGTTTGTTTTTTAACTTCTACCTTGATAAAAATGCTAGGAGCAGAGGAAAAAGAGTCTATTCCTTGGACTCAACTCAAATTGTATGAATGACTGTGCAGAACAGTGTGAGGATCAAACCAGCTTCACTGTGAGAGCTTTGGAGGCCATCCCTAGGGGCGCCCCCGCTTACTAGCCCTCCTTCCCTGCCCACCTAAGCTGGCCTGCATTTGCCCACCGAGGAGCCTGACTTCTGTTTCAGCATTGGGGTTTCTACTCCTCCAGGTGGGAGAGCAATTCAAAAGTGACTGAGGAAAACAGAGTGCCTCTTTCAGGGGCATTGACCCTGTCAAGGGCCAAGGCCAGGGAAGAGATGGGATACGCCCTCCTCTCCCATCTCATGATAGCCTGTGTGGGAGACTCTCATGGGCATATGGAGATCTTCGTTGATCATTCTGGATTGTATTAAAATCAAATGGAGCTTCCTGCTTTTTTGCTTCTTTCTCATCAGATAAGAGGTGAAAATGTTTGCTGTGGGTCATGGCTGAAATTAGGGCTTGAGAAGACGCTGAAGGCCAATGTGGACAAGTCAGATGAGGGATGGGCAGAGGAAGCAGGCTACCTCTGTCAGAAGGCAGGAAAGCAGGAGCTGAAGAGCCCCCCAGCATTGACATTCCCCAGGGAATCATCTCAGACTGCGCAGTGGGTCCCCAGGAAACAGGGGAGTTTTCAAAGCCCAGATTAGATGTGCTCTGTTCAGTACCAGTGGAGACTGCAGTTGAGGAAGGGCTCCCAGCACTCTGTATCTGGACTGCGTCGCTTCCCCATTTTCCATCTCATTAATATACTCCAGAGGGCCATTTTCCTATTCAGGCCAACCTTCTGCTCAGCCCTGGGGAGGAGCTTGATTGCATTTTGGTTGCCTCTTCTCTCTCCTTTCTCTTGCCATCTGGGTTTTGCCTCAGCAGGGAACTTTTTTCCCTTCATTTTAAAGGCAGTGGCATGCCTCGTTAGCTGCTTCCTCCAATTTAAAGCAGTCGGGCTTTTTCCAATTATTAAAACTGGAGGAGGGGAAAACACTGAGCCGTTCATTCAGATCAAGGCAGCAGATCAAGGAGGGTTATTTTTCCCCAGAATAGTACCAAATCTCCCAGGGTTAGTTTGGTCTAGAGATTTTCTTATTTTATAAAAACTGATTTAAAAGGGCTTTTTATATCCTAACACTAAAGCTCTTTTAGTTCGTTTTGCCTGCCATAAGTAATTCACCACCCAGGTGACCTTTTTCTTATACTTTGATGAAGCAGTGTACTCAGTGGTCATAAAAATCAAACTCAGACCAAGATTCAATTTTGCCTCTCAGAGAGATTGGCTGTGGAACACCTGGCTCTCATCTGACTTTTCTGTCCCTACAACTAAGCATATCAAAGATTTTCTAGGAATTATTTTTCTAAATAAGATGAGTTCCAGAGGTGAAGATTATATCTAGAGATCCAAGCATTACTGGATTAGAATTGGTCTATTTATTTTGGATTCTAACTTGAAAAGCCTGGCAGGTCGCTCCAGTGCTGAAATAGAAGTGTGAGGGAGACATCATGCATGCAAGCTACCTGCAGGTCCCAAAGGAAGGGAAACGTTTGCTCGAGGTAAACAAGCACTTTTATCAGGAATCTCTAGTGGAAAGAGACGACCTGACAGTTTCCTGTGAAGAAGCCAAAGTAGCCTTCAGAGGACTGGTTCTAGATGGAGGTAGATCCCCAGGACTGAAAAACACATGCTTTTTCTAACAGAGCCAGGGAAAGGAATGGCAGCCGTTCGTTTCAGGAGTCCTTTAGCTCCAAACAGTGGTGTTCGGTGCTATTGGAAGGTTCTTTTAAATGTTTCTCCTTCTCCCTCTGAACACAGCACACCCACATGCGCGAACACAGACACACAGGCCTGTGTTTGAAGTGTGTCTTCAAACCGTTATTCTGACAGCTCACTTGGAAAGTATTAAAAGTATAAGGCTTTCATCAGTATTGTCTCGGTTTTCCTCATTGCATGGAATAGCCAAGAGCAACATATCAAAGGCCTGTCCAGAAGTGACGGACTGATTGCTGGGGGATTTCCCAGGTCTGCCTTCCACATGCCTCGGGACATTAGGCGCGCATCCTGCACTGGAAAAGCACTGCCTAGGGGCCCAGGGTCCCCTCCCAGAAGTGCCTTTCCTTCCTGCAGGCTCCCCAGATCCTTGAGCAGCTAGAAGATAGAGCCCACTTTGGAGGGGATCCCAGAATAGAAAAATGACACTGAGGGACAATGAGGAAACCTGGATAATTAAGTATGCCTTTGGTTAATAGTATTAATAATATATCAATTTGGGTTCATTAATTGTGGCAAACGTACTATGCTAATGTAAGATGGTAAATAATAAGGAAACTGGGAGTTGGGTATACAGGAACTCTCCATACTATCTTTGCAATAATTCTATAAATCTGATACTGTTCTAAAGTAAAATGTTTATTTTTAAAAATTAAGCCTCTGAAACAAATGTGTTTAAGGTTTTAGTGCCAAAGAACCCTGCATTCATGGGGAAAATGGTTGAAGTGGACATCTGTGAATCAGGCAAACATTTTATGAAAGGGCAGCCGGTATCTGATGCCAAAGTGTACACACCCTCCATCAGCAAACCGCTAGCAAAGGGAGAAGTCTCAGGCTTGACAAAGGTAAGTAAAAGATGCTCTCCTCTCTACACTGCTAGTAAAACAGCAGCTGTGGAAGCACAGTGATTCCAGACCATGTTTCTGTTATCATTTATAGTTCCCTTTTTATGTATGCATGAGGCTTTAATCCTTTCTGACAGATTGAAATCTGAATTAGAAAGATGTGTTTTTGCTGATGCTGATAGCTTTGCTTCTCTGGCTGTAAAGGGAATAAGCTGTTTCTGCTTCCAGTTTAGAAGCAGGGGGTAAAAGCCATTATTTGCAGGCGAAAATGTTGACACCAAAAGATGGTCTGATCCAGTATGTTTCTATGTCAGTAGATCCTGAGTGGAAGGGGATAAGGAAAGGGGTGTTTTCTTGCTTTACAAAGCTGTTTATACTGTAGTAGAAACCTACAGCTGAACAGGCACTAAACCGTATCATATATGCAGTTACGGTGCCTTTCAGAAGGGTGTTAGCTGGATATCTACTTTAGTCATGTGGAGTGAAAATTAAACATTTTTTTTCTTTCTATAAAAAAGTAACCTGACCCCTATTTTATACCTTGGTAAATATGGCCGTTTGCCAAGCTCTCTCTTACATTTCATTGAGCTACAGTTGTAAAAGCTGATGGAGTGTGAAATGAAAATGTGTATCACATTTCTAAGCATCATTTGATGTCCTTTCTCCAACACAATTGTTAAGCCCTTAAAAAAAAAAAAAAAAAAAGAAAAGAAAAGAAAGCATATAGCAATGATTTAACATATGGAAAAAAACCCTGATATTTATCTGGCCATGTAATTCCAAAATTGTTTTAATCTGTGTATAATCTCGTTCCTCAAAATAAATTGCAAGGACATGTTCGTTAAAATAAAGCAAATACAGCTTCACTCTGGCAATAGCAACAAAGACAATACTATTGTCTGTGTTCTCACTGATTGTGTGGATTCTTGTGCTTGACAAGTACCCACGAAGGATCTGCATGCATGGCCGTCTAACCCATAGTGGAATGGTATAGACCAGCTTTTGTCAAAATTCTACCAAATGTATCAGCCTGCACAATCAGGAGCTAACTCTAAAACTTGATAAGCGTAACCATTCATTTTTGCTGTTTATTTAAAAAAAAAAAATCATACTTGGGGGATAGGATGGGGGGCCAGGAAGGAGCAGTGTAATCTGGCATTTAAATTATATTGCTAGAGATTTGGCTTTTGATATGTTAGCCAATACTTTGAAAATTTTTTTAAGAAGTCAACTTATTTTTTGTTTTGTTTTGTTTTTCCACATAGTGTATTTTACAAGGTTAATTTTAGATTGCCACAGTGAAAAGGGTTTCTCAGCAAGTAACAGTAGTGGGGAAATTATTATTTCAAAGACTCTGCCTAGTTTAATTCCTTCATGTTTGCCTCTTGGAAAGGGTAGTATTCTAAACATCACCATTGATAACACATAAATAAGGAAATGTAGTGTCCCTCTATTTGTTCCTTAACTATAGCATTACTATCTAAAAGGGCAGTTCCATTTGAATTCTCTGGGGCACCCTTTCTACTCTCCCATCCTTTCCTCTAGTCCAGACAATGGTATCATCGGTTCTACCAGCAGCCCAACTCTAAACCAGAATGGCCCAAAAGTCCCAGATAAGATGAGGAAGCCAGTGGGTTGCTGGTCTGCCAGAGCATGAGGCCACTGGGGTAGGAATATTGATTTGGGTATTTAAGAAAAACAGTAAGGCTTTTGTGTGTTTTGAGAGAGGGTCTCCCTCTGTCACCCAGGCTGGAATGCAATGGTGTGATCACAGCTCATTGCAACCTCTGCCTCCTGGGCGCAAGCGATCTTCCCACATCAGCCTCCTGAGTAGCTGGCGCTATCGGCACTCACCACCATCCTGGCTAATTTTTTTTTTTTTTTTTTTTTTTTTTTTTTGACAGAGTCTCACTCTGTCGCCCAGGCTGGAGTGCAGTGGCATGCAATCTCAGCTCACTGCAGCCTCCACCTCCCTGCAGCATCCACCTCCCAAGTTCAAGCAATTCTCATGCTTCAGTCTCCTGAGTAGCTGGAATTACAGGCACACACCACTATGCCCAGCTGATTTTTTATTTTTAGTGGAGACAGGGTTTCACCATGTTGGCCAGGCTGGTCTTGAACTCCTGACCTCAGGTGATCCGCCCACCTCAGCTTCCCAAAGTGCTGGAATTACAGGCATGAGCCACTGTGCTCAGCCCCGGCTGATATTGTTTATTTTTTGTAGAGACAGGGTCTCTCTTTGTTGCCCAAGTTCGTCTTGAACTCCTGGCCTCAAGTGGTTTTCCCACCTTGGTCTCCCTGGCATCTAAAGCAAAATACTATGCTTTGGACTTATTTTGTCTCACTTGACCTCTTTTTTTTTTTTTTTTGAAATGGGATTTTGCTTGTCACCCAGGCTGGAGTGCAGTGGCGCAATCTCACTGCAAGCTCCGCCTTCCAGGTTCAAGCGATTCTCCTGCCTCAGCCTTCCGAGGAGCTGGGATTATAGGCGTGCGCCACCACACCCCGCTAATCACTTGACCTCTTTTGATGAAACTGATGAGAAGTACAACAGACTAGAAGGGTGTTATCGAAAGGATGGTGGGAATGGGTGAAAGTTATGTATGCATTTTTAGTGAAAGGAACAGAAGAATAGGAAACTTGAGAAAAACACAGTTTTAAGATGCTAAGAACATCGATATTTTCATCTTGTGCTCACATGCAGCCTAATTTTGTGGTAACCTGCTTATTGTGATGATCTTTTTATACAATTAAGACTTCCGTGGAAAAATTGCTATGCTGTTCAGTTACTCCACCTGAAGAAAACGTGTGGATAGACAGGACCTAGGGTCAGCGATACCAAATCCATGACCATGTACTAGTTTGAAAAATTATCTGAAAGCCATCATCAAAGATTGGGATCAAGGATTTTTTTGTTTTAACTCCGTTGAGGAACTCTATTTATGGAAATTTTATGAACATTTTCAAGCCTATACAAAAGTAGAGAGAATAGTATAATAATCCCACATACCTATTACCCACCCTTAGCCGTCATCAAATCACCAGCCAATCTTATGTCATCTGTGCTCATATCTATCCCCCATTCCTCCAACCCTGATAATTTTGAAGAAAATCCCGTTTACATTTTATGTTATCTAGAAATATACTAGTAAATACCTCTAAAAGATAAAGATTCCTTTTACAAACATAATCAAATATATTATCAAATTTTAAAATCATTACCCATAATTGTCATTGGCTAAATATTCCATGCCTACTGCTGGGACCCAAAGTCAGCATTTATGGCGCGCTTATCATGGCCAAATACCGTGCTAAATATGTTACATGTGTTCACTCATATCATCCTCATAACCCTGAGAGGTAGGCACTATTATTATCCCCATTTCACAGATAAGGAATCTGAGCATCCATCACTCAATAAATAGCTTATCTGGAGTCACAACGTTTGAAAGTAGAAGAGGGAAGCCAGGATTTATGTCCCCACTTTCAAGCCTTTGTTTTTGTTTTTGTGTTTTACTTGTTTGTGGTAAAATATACATAACATAAAATGTACTGTCTTACTCATTTGTAAGTGTATCGTTAGTGGTGCTAAGTACATTCTCATTGTTGTACAACCAATCTGCAGAACTTTTCATCTTGCAAAACTGAAACCCTGTACGCATTAAGCAGTAACTCCTCATTTCCCCCTTCCCTCAGCCTTCTAATCTACTTTCTGCCTCTATGAATTTGATTACTTTTGGTACCTCGTATCAGCGGAGTTGTACACTCACCAGTGTTTGTCTTTTTGTGACTTGCTTATTTCACTTAGCATAATATCCCCGGAGTTCATCCATGCTGTAGCATGTGTCAGAATTTTTCTCCTTTTCAGGGCTAAATACTATTCCATTGGATGTGGATGCATTGTTTCATTTATTCATTCATCCTTTGATGGACATTTAGGTTGCTTCTACCATTTGGCTATTATGAATAATGTTTGCTATGAACATGGGTGCACAGATATCTCTTCAAATCCCTGCTCTCCATTATTTGGGGTATTTGTCCAGACATAGGATTGCTAGATTGTATGGTATCTCTATTTTTAATCTTTTGAGGAGCTGCCATCCTGTTTTCCATGGCAGCTGTACCATTTTACATTTCTACCAATAGTGCACAAGGGTTCCAGTCTCTCCACATTCACATCAACACTTATTTTCTCTCTCTCTCTCTTTTTGTTTTGTTTTGTTTTGTTTTGTTTTGTTTTGATAGTAACCATCCTAATCGGCATGAGTTAAGCCTGTATTTTTAAGCCCAGGTCCAGACTGCCTTACCCATTTTAATTGCAGGAGTCTTATTTGATAACTTCTGGACACTAGTTTCTTTTTGTATACCAAAGTAAGCTTACACTGGATACAAAAATAATAATAAGTAAGAGAAAGAGGAAAAAACGAGAAAATGGACAGTCTTAATTATCTTCTCTGTGGGTTCAGTTAAAAATGGCATTAGAGATCTGTCTCTCTTAGGAATATGCGAGAATGTGAACATTACTGCTGTCTATTTTAATAAAGGCTAACTAGTTTTACTACTAATGTTCTTTCTTCTTGTCTGGCCTATGTTATAAAAAATCACTTGAATCTTACCATTTCTTTGATTCTTAAGAAGTCAGAACTATTCTTTGCCTGGTACAAGATAGAAAAGAACATTTTCCCTTCTAATTTTAAACTTATGAATAGTTTGATTGCAAAGTTTTTTCTTATTGAATTCATTCTTAATAGTAAAAATTGCTTTAAAGAAAGAAGAAGTAGAGTAGCATCATGAAAGTTCTAAATGACCTGGACTCTGTCAGGTTAGGGTTCACATTACAGTGACAGTTCCTATGATGAAGTACAACTTTCTTAACTCACGGTGTCTTCATTTGTATAATGGAGCTAACAACTGATTTGCAGAGGATTAAGTTAAATCATGTGGACAAAGTGCACAAAGTGCATACTAAGTGTGTCAAATATTTTAAAGAAAGAATTCAA